CAGTGCTGCCTATCAGTGTGTGCATCAGTGCCGCCTGTCAGTGCCTGTCAGTGCCGCCTAACAGCGCAGTCGAGTGCCGCCTATCAGTGCTGCCTATCAGTGCTGCCTTTCAGCGCCCATCAGTGATGCTGTCAATGGCCCCATTCAGTGCCCCACCTACCAGTGCCTCTTCATCAGTGCCCATCAGTGCAACCCTATCAGTGTCCATCAGTGCAGCCTATCAGTGCCCCCATCAGTGCAGCCTCATTAGTGCACATCAGTGCAGCCTCATTACGTGCACATCAGTGAAGGAGAAAAATCACTTATTTACAAAATTTTATAACAAAAACTAAGAAAAAAACATTATTTTTTTTTCAACATTTTCAGTGGTTTTTGGTTTTGTTTAAGAAAAAAATAAAAAAAACCCGAGGTGATTATTAATACCACCAAAATAAAGCTTATTTGTCACAAAAAAATGATAAAAATTTTCATATGGGTACTCGGTGTTGTATGACTGCGCAATTGTCATTCAAAGTGCAACAGCGCTTGAAAGCTGGAAATTGGCCTGGACAGGAAAGGGTGGTACTAGAAGTGCCCGGGGGGCAGGAAGGGGGTAGAAGTGCCCGGTAGGTGAGGGGTTAATAACACAACATTACCACCTTGAGGTTTCTTGAATTTCGATTCTACACTTGTATACATGGAGAGGCTGCAGCAGACACTTAAATTGCCACATAAAGTGCTGGGAGGATTACATGAAGGAAAAATGAAGGCTTTTGTTACAGCAGGAATACCCCCCCCCCCCTAACCTTTATAGGTAAGAAAGCTGTCATTTTACAGGCGGTTTGCCGTGGTCCTGCTCCTGTGTCCAGCTATGGCATGAAAAGTCAGTTGAGAGCTCCCATAGGCACACTGGTGACAGTTATCAGCACAGGTATGATTTGAATGTTACTGGCTGAACCTGCTCATTTGCATATCTTTGCAAAGGATTCTGGGAAATGGGTTTTGCCACCTCAGGATTGATGAAATCTGAATTATATTTGTGTTTTTAGATGGTTTATAGAGCCAGAAATATTTGGAAGTGAACATACAAGCCAAAAGAAAGATTTTAATGTTAAATTCAAATTTGACTCTCCATAGCTTGATATTTTGGTAGTTCGGGGCGGTTATAAAAAGACTCGAAGCTTACTGAGCAGATGGAGAGGTTGGGAAAGCTCAACGGACACCAAGTGAAGGATCTCTCTGGGGCTGAATCAGTGACACTGATGTGAAGATTCCTCTGAGGGGAAGTTCATTGATACTGATGGAGGATCTCTCTGAAAGAAGTTTCAGTGATTGCTGACAGGAGTGATACATAAAGGATCGCTCAGGGGGGAGTTCAGTGATACGGACAATGAGGATCTCTCTGGGGAAGTTCAATGATACTGACAAAGAGGATGTCACAGAGAAGTTCAGTGACACTGAGGGCGGGCAATACAAACCTCTGAGCCCCATCCCAGAACACTTGGGAAGTTGAGCGTTGTTCCCTGCCTCTCTTTTTTAGGTGTTTTTGCATTGCAGACCCCCTCCCCTGTTATCTCACATATAGGTTCTTATTATTATAGCCACCTATAACTGTGGAACTCCTTCCACAGTTCTTACACTACATAGACAGTAATATACCGAAACGTGCGGATTGTTCCCAATTGGTGCGTTGTTACTTTGTGGAACGTTTCGCCGAATGGTTCACGAAATATCGCGTTTTTTTGTGGTGAAATTTTTCCATAGAAATGAATGGCGCAACTAGAGTGGGAGCTGACAAAAGCTAGAGTGTGGAAGGAAAAATCAGAACATGATTTGTAAACTGCCATCACTCTCTCATTTTCAAGCCCACCTACACATATCTTATATCAAAACGTTCAGCTGTCCCGGCTGTCACTAAAAATGTTCACGGCTAAGCCATACTCCTGATAGTTTTCATAATATGACCATTTGTTTGCAACTCACGCCGCCCATTGACTTTCATTGAAACTTCACTCGCAGCCACCTGAAATTTGAAGGGCCATTTCTAAACTACGACTGTGCCTTTATTTTTAATATTTCAGAGACATACTATACATCAAACATGTAGGTCTGGGTCTTGTGAGTCTCACAATATAAAGCTCTTTGCTGTAGGATTTATACTTTTAAAACTACAACCGTTTGAAGATGGCAACCGCCAGTGAAGTGAGCAAGTTGGAGCAGTTTGTTTATAAAAGCCCCTCTCAGCTTGTTCTGACTGAGTGAGTTGCCATAGCAACCGAAGGGGAGTCACCAGGAAGCAGAGTGACCAAAGCTACAGTGTGAACTGCAAAATAAAAGTTCAAATGCATTTCTTCAGCTTGCCATGTGCACTGTTTACATTCATCAATCACTTGGTTAGTGTTGGAGGCAAGAACACTTCACACAATTTCCCCAGAAATTGTAGATTTTCTAGTTTTTTATATTTTACTAAAAAACGAGTAATAAAGTGTGATTTTGTGCCTTAAAATGAATGTTAGTATATTTGTTACTGAAATGTTGTGCTTGATTAACTGTTGCACTAATGTTGCATGATATAAAAAATTGGAATTACCACCATTTTATTCTCCAAGGGTGTATGCTTTAAGAAAATATATGTTTTGGGGGGGTTTTAAGTCATCTTTTTCTAGCAATGAAAGAACACCTAATATACAAATCCAATCACAGACTCATAAACTATGTGTTCATACTCTTCCATCACATAGCGCTGATTACCAGCACAAGCCAAGCTAACTGCATTATGGGAGATCTTTTTTCCCTTTGTTCAGCGGTTTTATTATGGCATGCTGAAAGTGCACAGGTATCTGGCAGGTATTGGCATTCAGATATCAATAAAGAAGAAGCATTCTCACATGGCAGAAAAATATATTTGAAATACTACAATTTTGGCCATATTCAATATATTTCAAAATATATTTAAATAAATAAATAATAATAAAAAATATATATACAGTTGCAAGAAAAAGTATGTGACCCCCTTGGGATTATGTGGAGTTTGCATGAATTGGGCATAAAATGTGCTCTGAACATCATCTAAGTCACAACAATAGAAGAACACAGTCTGCTGAACATAATACTACACAAACATTAGATGTTGCCATGGTTTAATTGCACATAACATGTAAACATTCACAGTGCAGGGAGGAAAAAAGTATGTGAGGCCCTAGCTTAATGACTTCTCCCAGAGCTAATTGGAGCCAGGAGTGAGCCAACCTTGACTCCAATCAGTGTGATGATATTGGATGTGTTGCTGACAGCTGTCCTGTCCTTAAAAAACACACACCTGTTTTCGGTTTACTGGTTTCAAGAAGCACTGTCTGATGTGAACCATGCCTCGCAGAAAAGAGCTCTCAGAAGACCTACCATCAAGAATTGTTGACTTGCATGAAGCTGGAAAGGGTTACAAAAGTATCTCCAAAAGCCTTGATGTTCATGTGTCCACGGTAAGACAGACTGTCTACAAATGGAGAAAGTTTAGCACTGTTGCTACTCTCCCTAGGCGTGGTCGTCCTGTAAAAATGACTGCAGGAGCACAGCGCAGAATGCTGCATGAGGTAAAGAAGAATCCCAGAGTGTCAGCTAAAGACCTACAGAAATCTCTGGCACATGCTAACATTTTTGTTGACACATCTACAATAAAGAAAACATTAAACAAGAATGGAGTACATGGGAGGACACCACGGAGGAAGCCATTGCTGTCCAAAAAGAATATTGCAGCACGTTTGAAGTTTGCAAAAGAGCACCTGGATGTTCCACAGCACTACTGGCAAAATATACTGTGGACAGATGAAACCAAGATTGAGTTGTTTGGGAAGAACACACAACACTATGTGTGGAGAAAAAAAGGCACTGCACACCAACATCAAAACCTCATCCCCACTGTAAAACATGGCGGAGGGAGCATCATGGTTTGGGGCTGCTTTGCTGCCTCAGGGCCTGGACGGATTGTGGTCATTGATGGGAAAATGAAATCCAGAGTTTATCAAGACATTTTGCAGGAAAACGTACAACCATCTGTCCGCCAACTGAAGCTCCGCAGAGGAGGGGTGATGCAACAGGACAATGACCCAAAGCATACAAGTAATTCAACAAAACAATGGCTGCAACAGCACAGAATACGCCTTCTGGAGTGGCCCAGTCAGAGTCCTGACCTCAACCTGATTGAAATGCTGTGGCATGACCTTAAGAGAGCGATTCACACCAGACATCCCAAGAATATTGCTACACTGAAACAGTTTTGTGAAGAGGAGTGCTCCAAAATTACTCCAGATCGTTGTGCAGGTCTGATCTGCAACTACAGGAAACGTTTGGTTGAGGTTATTGCTGCCAAAGGAGGGTCAACCAGATATTAGGTCCAAAGGTTCACATACTTTTTCCTCCCTGCACTGTGAATGTTTACATGTTATGTGCAATTAAACCATGGCAACATCTAATGTTTGTGTAGTATTATGTTCAGCAGACTGTGTTCTTCTATTGTTGTGACTTCGATGACGTTCAGAGCACATTTTATGCCCAATTCATGCAAACTCCACATAATCCCAAGGGGTTCACATACTTTTTATTGCAACTGTATACATAGAAATATAATAAATATGACCAAAATTGTAGTATTTCAAATATATGGAAATATATTTGGGAAGAATATTTTTAAAATACATCTCAAAAATATACTGTATCTTTAAAAATACAAATCTACATTTTTGGAATGTGTTTACAAATATATGTAAAAATATATCTTAAAATTACTTTTTTATATGTTGACAAATTCTGAAGAATATATTTTAAATAAATATATTTTTAAAAATATATTTTTCAGATATTTTGTAATAACACATTCAACATGCAGTATATGTTTCAAATATATTTTTCTTCCATGTGGGATTGTTTTACAGAAAGTGGTGCCATTTCTTTGTACTGCTAATGATATCACACACAAGTCTTCGGATCCGTCCTGTATGGAAGTACGCTGATAAGACAAATCTCACCTTTCTGCTTGGCGGCGGTGCCCTGCGCTCTTACCGCACACACCTGGATGCCATGTCTCACACTTCTCAACAGGCGCAATGAACTTCCGGTTAGGGACATTATGGTAACTGGAAAAAAATAAAAAGTGCAATAAACAAAACAGCAACCGTCATGTGTATCTGGTTATACAGATCATAGTGGCTGCGGGGGAAAAAAAGTGTTACAGGATACCATTGTAGCTCTTCATCTCCCCATCTCAATTTGATTTCAATGAGTCAGACCCTGTCTGGTAGACTTTCAGTGAGAGAAGAAGCTTAGCAAACTTGTCTCAATCCAGAGTAGACACGTGCATTTTGTTACGAATCAAAATTCGGATGAAATTTGTCCGAATGTGTCCAATGACACAGCAGATCACCGAGTAAATGCAGTTGCTTGTTGTCGGCAGTACTTTCCTCACACTGTCACAGCGTGAGGAAATTAGTGCCGATCACCAGCAGCTGACACACAGCAGATCGGCACTGATCATCAGTACCCTGCAGTGCCACCCAACAGTGCCACTAACTTGTGCCCAGCAGTGCCACCCACCAGTGTCCCCCAGCAGTTGCACCCATCAGTGCCGTCGGTCAGTGCCAGGGGCGGACTGACCATTCGAGCACACGGGCACTGCCTGAGGGTCTAAGGTCAGTTGGGGGCCCCATGAAATGCCCCTGGTACCTTTTTTATAGGCTTTTTTTGAGTATGGGCAAGGACACGGGGGCCCATGAGTTGTCAGTCCGCCCCTGGTCAGTGCCATCAGTCAGTGCCACCTATCAGTGCCCATTATTGCTGCATATCAGTCCAGCATCATCAGTGCCTCCTCATCAATGCCAGCAGAGCCATACAAAGCAGTGTGCTTACAGTGGAAAGCACACACACAGCACACAGTAAAAACAGCACACAGTTAACCCTTTGATCGCCCCACATGTTAACCCCTTCCCAGTGTCATTACTGGGAAGTGACACCAAATCAGATCCCCCCAGTGCCAGAATGCTCGCCACAGTCCCGCAATAAGCCGCTGATAGCCGCCATTACTAGCAAAAAAAAGAAATTCCCAGTATATATACCGCCATTTGTAAACGCTATAATTTTCACGTAAACCAATTAATTTACACATACTGGGAATTTTGTTTTTTAGCAAAGCCATGTAGCAGAATACATTTTGCCCTAAATTTATGACGAAATTAATTTTTTTTTATTTTTTTTACTGGACACGTTTAATAGCAAAAAGTAAAAAATATAGGTTTTTGTTTTCTCAAAATTGTCGGTCTTTTTTTGTTTATAGCACAAAATATAAAAAAATGCAGAGGCGATCAAATACCACCAAAAGAAAGCTCTATTTGTGGGGAAAAAGGACATAAATTTAATTTAGGTGCAGCATTGCATGACCGCGCGCAATTGTCAAAGTAACGCAGCACCATATCGCAAAAAAAAATGGCCTGGTCAGAAAAGGGGGCAAATCTTCAGGAGGGCAAGGGGTTAAAGTTTTAAACTTTTTCTACTGATATTATGCGCTTGAAGTAATCACGTGACATAAATTGGAACTACCACTATTTTCCGATCCATGGTCTCTGCTTTCAGAAAATAAATAGAATAAATGTTTGGGGTGTTAACTAATCTTTAGGTCTTAAAATTCTTTTTAATCGTGTGCAAAGATAAAAAAAAAAAGAAATCGCAAAAACAGCTCTGGCAGTGGAAGGGGTAATGTATAATATCAGAAACCTAAAAAAAAAAAAATATATCTGTGCTGACCAGCAGCATTTAGTGCTGGAGAACCCTTGTAATATTTCATACGTTGTCCCAACGGTGACATTCTATTTCAGTTGTTATTGTGTCATTATCTGTATACGACGTTTAACTACGAGCTATGTTCTGCGTGAAGAAAGTTCCAGGGAGAAAACAAAGAGCTGGGGTCACTTTAAAGGGAGTAACCTGAGATTCTGCCAATCAGGTGGCTTGTAGCCAGCCCCACCCCCGGTCCAGCCAATGAGTTCAGAGCGGTATTAAAAGTCACAAAAGAAGGAACAGCTGGAGGATGACAGGTGACTGGTAGAGAGGTGTCTGTGTACCGTGACCGCTTTATGTCACATGTTCTACACACCACGCTCTGTATATGTATCATATCAAGTACAGTCCATCGGGTTCATGTCTTCTATTACACTACAAAACCCCCACCATGAGAAGGGCTACAAGCATCAACCCTGCATTTATTTTTTTAGACGTGATCAGTAATTTTTATCATAATTTTTTTTTAATTTATTTTAAGGGCTCATGTACACGGGGCGTTTGGAAAACTCTTCTGAACGATGGAAACTGCAGCGTTTGAAACGCCGGAAAAATCAACTCCTGAACGCAAGTTTGCTGCGTTCAAAAAAAACGACTGTGTGTACACGGACACATAGGAAAACATGATTGATGAAAAAAGGCTCTGGACAGCATCTGGACATGAAACAGTTAAAAAACGCTTCTAAATGCAAATGCTTATAAACGTGGCTAAGCGCATTTACAAGCATTTGAAACGCCGGAAAAAATTACTCCTGAACGCAAGTTTGGTGTGTTCAATTAAACGACTGTAAACTCAACTGCCTGTAAACGACGATGTGTACATGGACTGAAAAAAAAATTCTGAACAGCTCCTGAACGTCAGTTTATCAGCCACAGTGTACATGAGCCCTTATTCTGTTGTGCAAGGATCTGAATCTTTCTTTAAACCGCCTCCCGCCCGCCATATAGTACAATGACGGGCGCAAGGTGGTTCCTCTCTTTCTGATAGGATGTCATATGACGTCCTACCATTCTCACTGCGCATGTGCGGCTCAGGGAGCGCGCAGCGAGGCGATCGCTGGTGCGCTGTGTCCCTCGGACACAGCAGATCACAGAAAGAGCCGAAGATGTCGGCTCAGTCATGTGATCAGCTGTGTCCAATCACAGCTGATCACATGTAAACACGGAAATGCTGGTTATCGGCATTTCTCTCCTCTCGAGCTGTCACGCTGACAGCTCGAGAGGAGAGGAGAGCCAGTAATCGGCTTTCCGTGGAGGGGACATGTACACTGATCATCAGGGCACTGATGATCAGTGTGCCCCGATGATCAGTGTGGCCCCAGAAGTGTCACCTGTCAGTGCTCATCAGTGCCACGTGCCAGTGCCCATCAGTGCCACATATCAGTGCCTACCAGTGCACATCAATGCCACATATCAGTGCCCATCTGAGCTGCCTGTCAATGTCACCTATCAGTGCCAGTCAGTGCCGCCTATCAGTGCGCACCAGTGCCAGTCAGTGCCGCCTATGAGTGCCAGTCAGTGCCGCCTAACAGTGCCAGTCAGTGCCGCCTATCAGTGCCGCCTATCAGTGCCATATATCAGTGTCATGTATCACTGTCATGTATCAGTGCTGCCTTTCAGTGCCCATCAGTGATGCCTGTCAATGCCCATCGGTGCAACCTACCAGTGCCTCCTCATCAGTGCCACCTATCAGTGCCCATCACTGCAGCCTCATTAGCGCACATCAGTGAAGGAGGAAAATAACTTATTTACAAAATTGTATAACAAAAACTAAGAAAAAACGTTTTTTTTTTTCAAAATTTTCAGTGGTTTTTGGTTTGTTTAAAAAAAAAAAAAAAATCCCAGAGGTGATTAAATACCACCAAAAGAAAGCTCTATCTGTCTCAAAAAAATGATAAACATTTCATATGGGTACAGTGTTGCATGACCGCGCAATTGTCATTCAAAGTGTGACAGTGCTGAAAGCTGGAAATTGGCCCGGGTAGGAAGGGGGTATAAGTGCCCTGTAGGCTAGTGGTTAAAGGAGAACTCCACCCTTACAATCAAAAATAATATTTTTTAAAATCCTAAAGCTGTTCCCGGGCATAAAGGAACAACTATGCCCAATGATCTCATGCAGTCCATCATTGTCTTGACTTTAGGATACGTTCTCCCTGCCTGGTTCCTCTTCATATCCGGGAGCATGCGCACGCACGCCCCAGGGAGCTTTGCCAGGTCTGTGGGTCCTGGCAGGTCCCAGCGGTGTGTCTGTGCATACACCAGACTAGACATGCCGCTGGCCCTGCACACTTTCTGCACATGCGTGAGATCTCACAAGCTGCCTTCTGAGATGAGTGATGTAGTAAAATGCCAGTTTGCAGACCGCGCAAATGCGTAAAAACGCCACAATGGATCCTAGTGTGACCCACAGCGTTTCTGCACATGCTCGGTAAGGGGGGGGGGGGGGGGGGGCAGGTACAGCATTTTCACCTAGGACCTGAACTGTAAAGGATCAGTTCACCTTGTAACAAAAAATAGGAATCTCTTAGATTGTAAGCTCCCAGGATCAGGGCCCTCCTAACCCTCTCTTGTATTGAATTGTATTGTTGCTGTATTGTCTCCCGTTATATTGTAAAGCGCTGAGCAAACTGTTGGCGCTATATAAATCCTGTATAATAATAATAATAATAATAATAATAATAAACAAAAAGTAAAAAAAATGTGCATTTCGTATTTTTTGTTTCTGAAGCCTGTAAAGCATTGCACCAGTGATCCGCAGATGGCTGTGCCATGCAGGACTCCTGCAGACCTGTCAGTGTATCTATGTGCTTGTACATGAAGTACGGGTCAGCAGATACTTACTGAGAGGAAGACTCAATGAACGTCTACAGCGCTGTGGCAGTTCACTGAGAACTACAAGCTGACAGCCGCAACGGCTTCAGGAATTGGCAGTTTTCTGATTCACAGAACACTGTGAATGAGTGACACATCCAGGTGGGCGGAGCCTCGCATGGCCACGTTTTATTTTCATTTGTGACAGCTAGCGGGGTGGGAGAAGATCCCCTGCTAGTTGTCACAATGAGGATGGGGGGGGGGGGGAGGTCCGTGTTCATAACATCCTGGATATGGATGCAACATGTAACTTATCCTTAAGGCTCCATTCATATTCGGGCGTTTCAAATCGTGGGCTGAATTGCCGCGATTCTGCCTGAGATTTGAAAATGTGGTGACAATGTGAAAAGGCGTGATCACGTTTGGAGGTGCCATTCATTTCAATGGCACCTGACAACGTGGGGAGTTTTGGTGGCGGTTCTGGAGCATTTTCCTGC